CTGCAAAAGATCCACTTCAGCCCAAACCCTGACAGTATGAAAATTATGCATGAAAGTAGTAAAGTAATCCACTCGCTCTACACGCATCCCCAGATACGCGTACAACGGTAGCAACTACCCGAACCATCGTCCGATCGACGGCATCGTCACCACAGGATGGAATTCTCCCACACATTGGATACCTTCATACAAACACGCGTATGGCATGTAAATAATCCGGCATCATATAAACACTTCCCTAGATCAGCAGTGTATCCGATCATGCTCTCACAACTCTCACTTACCGAGGCGTAGAGGCAACGGATCCATACATTACCACTCAAGTGAATGGCACTCATACAATAGCACGCCGTATGAGCGACGAAATAGAAATATGATGCAAAGACCCCCAAGTAAGTACTTAAATAAGCCACCTAGAGTCCTTAACTGGGCATACAGGACATGACCACTGGCACACTCTTAAGTTTTAAATTAGAGGTTGAAACACCTATATACTATAAGTTCGTAATTAGTTTTGTAACACAAAACCCGTTTGTTTTAAATACACGCATGAACAGTAATCTGCTAAACCTTGCTCTGATGACAGCTGTAACAGAACCGACCAATTATACGAGATTAAGTAAGAAAATCTTCCGCCGAAGCAGATAATTTAGCAAACTTAAACCCGTATAACCCGGTAGTCCGTGAAACCACGAAGGATTTCAAACCAATCGACATACAAACCAAGATCATACAAGTTTAGCAAGTACCGTCATACATTACATAAAGTTCGCAATGATAGTTGATACATCAGAGTTTGGAACATAAGTTATTACATACCAAGTTCGAGCTGAAATAGCGGAAGCAAATAGTTTTAAAGCCACACACACTTTTGATCCAGATACAGTGCCAGTAGGTAGTCATTTCCAACAAAAAGCATCAGATGAGAAATACGGAGTGACCATTTGCCCTTGGTCCTAGTTGTCACCCATCGCCGGATACAGGCAGTTAATGCAATAGCCGTAGTACATTTGACCATCTGCAACAACAATGGGAACAACGCCCTGAGTACGAGAAGAAACTCAGCTAGACTTACCCGTCTTAAACCAAAATAAAACGACACCAAGGATTATGCAAGGCTTTCTTTAGTGGGCTAGCTGACTCTTTTGTGAAAGCATAAGTTATCATGAACAAACCATTTTAAGTACTTTGCATCATCTTTATTATAACCTATCCATCTAGGTAAGCACCTATACTATGGCAATCACATGATTAAACAATAACATCCAGTTACCAATTTAGCTTTAGCATAACTCACATCATCCAGATAACCATCATTGTTCCATAATAATTACTACGATGCCGTAGCTCAAGTCAAGTGCTCACTATCCAGGAGCGATGGCGATTCGAATCGATTCCTAATCAGCTGGTGATTTATTCCACACACAAACCATGCTTCCCCTGCCAGGGTAGCCTAGATTACCAATGACACTTTTCAGGTAGCCGCGGGATAATCTGGAGCCACAGTACCCAGGGACCGCCCGACTGCCAGGAATCAGGTCACACCTGCCCTTGGGCTCACTCTTCGCGCCCCTGTCATACCCCCATCAGCACCAATACGCGCACTCGTGTAGATCCCGGCCCAAATAGTGACACTAGCTTCGTGGTCGAAAGGTACTTTATTCGGCCAGCTAAATGTGAGGCATGCGTTCAACATGACAAGAGGGACGAGCAACGATCGGTCCTTAATCGACACAGACGGAAACTAACAGCACCCCAGAACCCTGTCTGGTTGCCTCCAACTATTCCGTCCGGTCTCCAATTTTCCATCACATATGGTTAATTCCAGGATATCATTCTTTCCATAGCCAATCTCTTCCAGTAACCACCTATAATGTAGGTGACCGGGTATCACCGATCGCTACCGGTCTAAGCAAGGCTAAGCAGTTATTCGCTACCTATAATGGTCGTCGGAGGAGGTCGGACTCATGATTTGAGTTGAGCGGAGGCCGTCCATGGCGGAGGCCCATGGCTCGACTGCCGCATGCCTGTATAGCACGAGGTGTGCAAAGGTAAATGGGCAGGGAAGCAAAGGGAAGCTTTGAGAAGGAAGGGGATAGAGACGAGAGCGACGTGCGCTCAGCTGTGGACGAGAGGTTTAGTGCCTTGGTGGGTGGGGATTGATTGTGTGGATGAGAGCACTCCTGCGGTTTTCCATTTTTAAGTCATTTTTTTATTTTCTCCATCGATGGTTTTTAAGTGAGATTTCTTTTCTGTACTTTTTCTACGCTAATCCAAACATCCATTCCACCAAAATATTTGTTTATTTTATGGGATGATTTGTTTTCTATATACTTGAGAGCTAAGCACATGCTTAACACTATGATTAATTACCTACACCATTGTCAAAATATTTGTGACAGTTATCCTCATGAATGGAATTGGGGCATTTTAACCAAGGCTGGCCTAACATTAGTAGCAATAAACCAAACAGCAGCCACACTATTTTTGCCACATCTTAGTTATCAACCAAATACTCCTAATTTATCATAGAGTGTGGCAAGCCACAAGTGTGGCTTATACCTAACCTTAGGCATGACAAACTGTGACCGACAACCAAACAATCCTGGTATGTAGCCCATGACTTTGACTTCGAGCTCGCACTAGCTCCGCGCGTCCGGTCCATATGTCCTGCTGCCTTCTCTCTGTACTTGCGCGTGTTGAGTCCTCACGTACACAACATGACTGACTCTGATGACTGGACCGGCGCCATCAATGCGAGATGAGCGCGGCCGTGCGGAAGATGGAAAAGGTGGCCACGGCAAGGCACCAGCCACCTCTATCCAGAGCGCATCTACGATCGGCAGCGGCGTTCCCTCTACGCCCACGTTCATCTACGTCAGCTAACCGCGTCGCCGGAGGAGATCAACGTTGTCTAGATGACCCTGCTCAGGCCGGAGCAAACTATCGTTTCAGTTAAAAGAAGTACCATGTGAACCTAATCTAACTAAACAAACCAAACTAAAAGAAAACTAACCCTAACAACAAACTACTGACTAAACTAGCCGTAATCCAAAACCATTATCTGAAACTAAACTTGCTAACTAAAAGTAACGTTGGTACAACTAACCATACCCCTAAATAAATTGAACCATAGAACCTAACTAAAAATAACTAACCCTAAAAATCTGACTAAAAAACTAATCTACAACTAAAACTAAAGGGAAAATGGTGCTATTGCCCTTGTCCAGTACTTCAATTGTGATTTTACCCCTGTTTTTTCAACTTTGTGTTTTTGCCCTTATTATTTTGAATTGAACTATCCGTCTACCCCTATTTTAGATATCCGTCTGATCCCAGTGAATAGATGAATTAAAAAAATTCTAAACCTAAAAAGAAAAGACCAAATGCCTACGCTGCCCTTATCCCTTCGAGGCTGTTCCTCGACTCCTCTAAAACACATCGGAGGGAGTGGGCAGCGCGGTGCCTGTCGGCGGTGCGGAGCGGGCATGCGGCGCGCGACTGCTGCTCCGGGGTGCGGGACCGCGAGCGCGAGCGCCGTGGTGTACGAGTCGTCGTCGTCGTCGTCGTGCTCCCTGCTGCCGCCGCAGGAGTCGCTGGCGGCGGTGACGGTGGCGGTTGCGGCGCCGCCGGCCCCGTCGATGGACCTCAGCCTCGCGCTGCCGGCTTTGGCGGCGGCCGCAAACACGAACCAGCTGTTCATGGACCCGACGGCGGCCGTGACGCCGGCGCTGCTGCAGTTGCTGCGCCGAAGAGCGAGGAGGAGCGAAGCTGCTCTGGTTTGTCGTCGTCGTCTGTGGTGTTCGACGCGGCGCCGCCCGTGGGCCTGGGGCTGGACCTCAACCTGGCGCTGCTGCCGCCGGCCGAGATGGTCATGTGAATGTGATTGCCGCCGTCCAGGAGACTCTAATCGATCACCTTCCGTGCTAGTGAATCATGCTTTGAAGCTGCATCCTGTGTTGTACAAGTGTGCTGCTGTCGTTTGTGCCCTATGTTCCTTGATTACACTGTCTTTTCACTTGTGTTTCATAAGCTGGATGGTTGTTTGCGCATGCTTTTAGTAGAGCACAAGGGGCAACACAGTTTGTTAACCGATGTTCTACATGCATTCTTATACATTGAGGATTTTTGGACCCACACAAAAGATTATATCGAAATATTTCTTATGGCGTTACATCTGTCATCATTATGAACCATTTGATCCAAAATTTTGAATATTTATCAATATTAAATCTGAATTCAAATAATTGCAAGTTGTGCCAAATATGTTTGACCAAATTTAATCAATTGTCAGCATACAATAAAAAAGTCTAATTTCAAATCAGGATAAAATCACAATTAGGCATAACAAATAGGGGCAAAATCGCATGGGCATTCATGTCCTTTTGTACAAAGTTTAACAACGTTAGGGGTGGATGACGGAGCAGGGACAAACTGGTGCTTCGTTTTGAAATCATAGGGGTAAATTCACAAAGTCAAAAAAAACAAGGACAAAATCATAATTTTAATACAAAACAAGGGTACAAACGCAAGAGCCCCTAAAAACTAACTAACTAATCTAATTAACTAAACTAACTAAATATACTAAGTAATCTAGCTAAACTAAACTAAACTAACTTAAAAAAACAAAATCAAACTGAACTAACCCTAACCCTAACCCTAAAACTAACCCTAATCTACTACTAAAAACTAAATATACTAAGTAATCTAACCCTAACCAAATCTAACTAAACCAACTAAACTAACAAAATCTAACTAATAAAGTAACTAAAAAAACAAAATCTAATTAAAAAAAAAACTTACCTCGGCAGCCCGACCAGACGGCAGCGATGGCGAGCAGTGCGGGGGTACAGTAGTACCTGTCGTTCGGCGGCTCGCCGACAGGACCGCTGTACTGTCCTGTCCAGCTATGTCATGCCGATATACCTCTCTCGGTCCTCCGTAAAATTCTGTGTATTCAAATGCTATATTTCTAATTATTAATTAAAAAAAATATTATTTTAAAAAAACACATCGATAAGCTGATGCTTGTAGGCCCTGTACGTCTCGTTCATGACGGATCCGGCGTGGCCGCTGTAGAACTTCATCCTCTCCACCTCGGCGGAGTGGTGCAGGTCTTCCAGCCACCGGTTGGCGTCATCCTGCAGCCGGTCGAACAGATGGCGCATGCACACGTCGTGCCCCGGGTCCAGGTAGTACCCGTACGCGTACACCCACCGCATCACCCGCCTGCCGTAGGCGATCATCTCGTACGCCATGATCAGGAACTCGAGGTCCTCCACCTGGATTTCCAGCGAGGCGGCCATCTTCTCGAGCCCCGAGCTCCGCAGCTCGTTCATGTCGGCGAGCGCTTTCTGCAGCGACTTGCCGTTGCCCGCCCACCGCTCGTAGTGGTACAGATACCTGTCCAGCGACGCCTTGGCTTGCCTTCGACGCCGCCTCTCCTCCTCACCGCCCTCACCGTCGACGTCCTGCTGAAGCTAATCAGTGTAATCAAAGCGGGAGCAGCGCAAGTGGCGGCGCCACGGGTCGAAGCAGAGCCAGCAGAACTGGTGGTAGCAGGGGGCGCTGCACGTCATGTGGCTGCAGCCATGGTTCTTCTCGATCGGCCGGCGGCACTTGGGGCAGTGCTTGGTGTGGGTCAGCACCTAGTTGGCCGTCTCCGAATCGGAGACGTTCTTGGCCCGCCACGCGCGCACCGTGCCGCACGACACCGGCCGGTGCGCCTCCTCGCCGCAGCACCAGCAGAAGCCGTGCGCGCACTCGCAGAAAACGTCCGCGCCGTCGCCGACCAAATCCAGGGCGCGCGTGCACCCGGCGGCGGGGCACCACTTGACGCCGCCGCCGCTCAGCTCCACGTACGATCGGAGCGCGTACCGGTCCCTGTCGGCGCCGTCGGCCACCGCGTTGACGAGTTCCTCGACGACGGCCGCCGAGCAGGCCGGGTCCGGGCACAGCAGCGACAGGCAGCGCGCGCCGTGGCCCATGGCCGCGTGGACGTACCCGCACCAGCACGCGTCGCAGTAGTAGTGCGAGCAGCACCCGGCCGATCTCGTCCTCCCGGCGCTGAACCTGACGAAGCAAATGCCGCAGACGAGCCGCCGGCTGCTGAGCGCCATGGCCACCACGGGGACGCCGCCGCCGCCGTCGTCCGCCGGCTGCAGGCCGACGGCGTCGCGCACGCGGCGGTCGTCGGAGAACCACTCGTCCTGTACCTGGCTGGCTCCCCACTTGAAGTGGCGGAGCAGGACGGCCGCGAAGGCTTGCGGGATCGACAGGACCTCGGCCACGGTCGCCGTGTCCTTCTCTTGCCGCGCCAGGATGATGTCGTCGGTTAGCACATTGTACGTCGGCTTGGCGGCCTTCGTTTCTTCCTCCACTGCGTACTCGTCACTGGGATCGTCGACCTCGCCGATGCAGCCCCGTCGTCGTCGGCTTCATAATCGTAGTAGTTGTTGTCGTCCTTGTTTGACGAGATTTTGTACAAAATGTCACTAGTATGCATGTACATCTATACGTGCTACTGAAAATAATAGTAAAAGGAAAAAAAACATGAATCAAGTTGCATTGGGCCGTGATGAGCTAATGCATAGTGCGCATGTCTATTTACGTGTGCTGGAAAAGAAAGAAGCTAACACGTTACTATGCCGTGTATGCATGCATACGTGTTGACATGCAATAGAAGAAGTTAGCAAGTATGTATACGTCCATGTGTGGTATACCTTCTCAAATACGGCGGAGCTCAAACGCCTTTAGTTAGCAAGCGATCAGAGCCCACCAGGCGGCCATCTTCTAGAGCCCCGAGCTCCGCAGCTCGTTCATGTCGGCGAGCGCTTTCTGCAGTGACTTGCCGTTGCCCGCCCACCGCTCGTAGTGGTACAGATACCTATCCAGCGACGCCTTGGCTTGCCTTCGCCGCCGCCTCTCCTCCTCACCGCCCTCACCGTCGACGTCCTGCTGAAGGTAATCAGTGTAATCAAAGCGGGAGCAGCGCAAGTGGCAGCGCCACGGGTCGAAGCAGAGCCAGCAGAACTGGTGGTAGCAGGGGGCGCGGCACGTCATGTGGCTGCAGCCATGGTTCTTCTCGATCGGCCGGCGGCACTTGGGGCAGTGCTTGGTGTGGGTCAGCACCCAGTTGGCCGTCTCCGAATCGGAGATGTTCTTGGCCCGCCACGCGCGCACCGTGCCGCACGACACCGGCCGGTGCGCCTCCTCGCCGTAGCTCCAGCAGAAGCCTTGCGCGCACTCGCAAAAAACGTCCGCGCCGTCGCCGACCAACTCCAGGGTGCGCGTGCACCCGGCGGCGGGGCACCACTTGACGCCGCCGCCGCTCAGCTCCACGTACGATCGGAGCACGTACCGGTCCCTGTCGGCGCCGTTGGCCACCGCGTACGACGGCCGCCGAGCAGGCTGTGTCCGGGCACCGCAGCGACAGGCAGCGCGCGCCGTGGCCCATGGCCGAGTGGACGTACCCGCACCATCACGCGTCACAGTAGTAGTGCGAGCAGCACCCGGCCAATCTCGTCCTCCCGGCGCTGAACCTGACGAAGCAAATGCCGCAGACGAGCCGCCGGCTGCTGAGCGCCATGGCCACCACGGGGCCACCGCCGCCGCCGCCGTTGTCCGCCGGCTGCAGGCCGACGGCGTCGCGCACGCAGCGGTCGTCGGAGAACCACTCGTCCTGTACCTGGCTGGCTCCCCACTTGAAGTGGCGGAGCAGGACGGCCGCGAAGGCTTGCGGGATCGACAGGACCTCGGCCACGGTCGCCGTGTCCTTCTCTTGCCGCGCCAGGATGATGTCGTCGGTTAGCACTTTGGACGTCACCCACGAGTACTGGATGATGTACTTCGACGGGTCCGTAATGGCGCCCGGTTCGGGGGCTGGAGTGGTTCTGATCTCCCTGGACAGAAGTAGGCTCCGCTACACCATCCGCCTCTACTTTTTAGCCTCAAACAACGCCGCGGAGTACGAGACCCTTATCAACGGACTACGCATCGCCATCGAGCTCGGTGCTACGTGACTCTACGTTCGCGGCGACTCGGAACTTGTCGTTGATCAGGTCATGAAGGAGTCCTCCTGCAAAAGCCCCCTCATGACAGCATACTACCAAGAGGTGTGCAAACTTGAGGACAAATTCCAGGGGATCGAACTACATCACGTCCCTCGAAGGGACAACGATGCCGCCGATTTCCTTGCAAAATTGGCCACCAGGCGGGATCCATCCCCGACCGGGGTTTTCATCAACGACGCGTCCACGAACCGTCCGCCCGCATCCTAGAAAGTCCGATCCAGACACACCCGATGCCTAGCCGGTGCTCGGGGCTCCGATCCAGTACCTCTATGGCGACGTCACCCGCGAACATCGCCAGTATTGGCACTCTATCAAACCGACTAGCGAAGTGCCGCTACTCGCCTACCTCCTCGAGGAGAGTTCTCCCTTCGAAAAGGCACTATTACGAAACGAATTTGTGTTGCGTCACCAAAATAGCCTCCGTGGCGGGGCATAATTTTTTTGCCCGCTGCGGTTAATGCCCATGATTTACCGAGGCGGATCTTTTTTATTTACCGTGGCGGGCGTTTTTTTTTCGCCACGGTAAATCGATTTACCGTATGGGCGTCTTAAGATGTTGATGCACGGAAAATACCCTATTTTTCATGGGCGGACATCTTAAGACGTCCACCACGGTAAATCGATTTACCGTGGCGGGCAACCAATAAGGCCTACCACGATAAATTTTTGGCCCGATTGAGCCCAGCGCAGCCCATACCGAGCTCATATATAAATACGAGCTTAGGGTTTCTACACTCGTCCTCACCTCTCTCTGCTCTCCCACCGAGCAGCCCCGCGCCGCCTCCTCCTCCTTCTCTCGCGATAAGCGCCTGACGCGCGCCTCCTCCCTCTCCCCTTCCCTCTCCACCTCTCTCCGGCTCTCGCGGTGGCAGAGGTGCGCCCCTGCTCTCGCGGTGGCGGCTGGTCGTGCTCCCTTCACCGGCCGGGCGGTGGCGCGCGCTCCCTTAGGGGCGGCGGCAATGACAGCAAGGCCCTTCAGCAGTGGCGGGCGGGCCGCTCTCCTTTGGCGGGGTGGTGGGGGGCGCGCCTTCTTTGTGGCGGCGGTGGCGGAGCTTGGAGCTCGAGGTGGCACAATGGGCTAGGGTTTTAGATCCATCGACCGGCTCGGTGAAGGTGTTGCTCACTTTGTCCCTTCTTCCTCTCTCTTGCCCTCTTGATGTTGCTCACTCTTCTTCCTTCTTGAGATCTGGTGAAGGAGCCGCCATGAGCGGATCTAGGAGGTGGAGGCCAGTCACACCCATCTCTCGGTGGTGGTGGGACCGTGTCTCTCCTCGATGAAGTGGATGGATCCGCGCGAGAGGAGGTGAAGGCGATCGGATCGTGGATGACTACGACGACGACGCGAAGATCCCGGCAGCGCTAGGGTTTTGGGCTCGATTGGGCTGTTGGCCGGGCTCGGGAAATGGGTAGCCGTGGGAAGCCTGGATCCGTCACCGGTGGGCTCGAGAACGGGCTCGGCGGCGGGCTCTGGTTTTTTGTTTTTTAAATGATTAACCGCAGCGGGCATCCTAACGTGCCCGTCGTGGTAAAATATATTACCACGACGGGCATGTTACACCGCCGTGCCGTGGTAATCGGTTAACCATGGCGCAAGGCAAGGCCACCCGCCGCTGGTTAAGCCACGATTTATCGTGGTCTCTAGGCCGCGGCGGACGGCTTTGCCCGCCACGGAAAACCGAAAACGCCCACCTCCAGTAAAGTTTGTGTAGTAGTGAGGACTGAAGCCCGACGGATCGCTCAACGCGCCAAGACCTTCATCGCGCTCGGTGACGAGCTCTACAAACGGAGTCCATCAGGGGTACTCATGAAATGTATCCCCACCAACCAGGGGAGGCAGCTCCTCCTCGAGGTCCATGCCAGGATTTGCGGACATCACGTGGCCCCAAGGTCGATGGTCGGAAAAGCCTTTCGCCAAGGTTTTTACTGGCCCACCACGCTACAAGATGCAGAGGAGGTCGTCCGTAGGTGTGAAGGATGCCAGTTCTACGCTCGGCAAACCCATTTGCCGGCGCAAGAGCTCCAAACCATCCCCATCACCTGGCCATTCGCAGTCTGGGGCCTCGACATGGTGGGACCCCTCAAAAAAGGCCCAGGCGGTTTCACTCACCTACTCGTAGCAGTTGACAAGTTCACCAAGTGGATAGAGGCCAAGCCCATCACCAACATTCGCTTGGAGGAGGCAGTCAAATTCTTCCTCGAAATCATCTATCGGTTCGGCGTTCCTAACTGTATCATCACTGACCACGGGACTAACTTCACCGAAAAGAAGTTCCTAGACTTCAGCGATGGATACGACATCAGGATCGTCTAGGCTTCGGTCGGACATCCACGAACTAACGGTCAGGTCAAACGTGCCAATGGCATGGTCCTCCAAGAACTTAAGTCATGCATCTTCGACCGACTCAACAAGTACACCGGGCGATGGGTTGCAGAGGTCCCAGCGATCCTCTAGAGCCTAAGAACGACCCCAAACCGATCCACAGGGTTCACACCCTTCTTCTTGGCCTACGGAGTTGAGGCAGTATTACCATCCGACCTCGACCACGGCGCCCCGAGAGTGAATGTCGATGCGGGACCCACAGGATACCCCGCAAGAGAGAGAGAAGATCTAGTCCAACTAGGATTCTTTCCATGTAATCTTAGTAATAGAACTATTAAGTAATCCTACTAGGAAATCTCATTGTAAACCGATTAGGACTCTGGCCTCCTGACTATATAAAGGAGGGCAGGGCTCCTGACGACATGGTACAAGATAACACTTCATAATCAATCCAACGCAAAGGCAAACGCCGACTGGACGTAGGGTCGTTACTCGATCTACGATCGAGGGCCTGAACCAGGATAAATCGACTGTCTCTTGCGTTCACCATCGAGTTCAGCATACGCCGAAGCTCGAACTATACTGCCACGGTACCCCTGTGGCAGGCTATCGGTGATAAAACATCGACAGCTGGCGCGCCAGGTAGGGGCTTTCGACGACTTTGCATTCGAGAGCTCGATGGACCTCAATAACATGATCTTCCCGATGGGATCGATTTTCATCTTCGGCTCGTGGATCTGCGAGGCAGACAACTACGGCAAGCTTCAAAGTCATCTCCTCAAAGATCCGGATCATCATGAAGAATCCTCTATTTCGACAACTACGACGGATCAGCTCATCAGAAGATTCGCGCAGCTCATAATACCCGATTCGAATAAGATTCCACAGCTACACGCATCCGACTCGAATTCAAGCTCCGTATCCGAGATGAAGTCTTATTCGAGTGCTTTCAAGAAGTCGAGTTCTTGTTTGGCAAGATTCCAGAATACAACCCAAAACAACTCGGATTACCCTCAGAATTTTTTCAAAAGGCCGAGTTCTTTTCCATTTGGGCTGGACAACACGACAAAATCCTATCAGGGACAGTTTGAAAGGTCTTTCAAATCAACACTTGGGATACCACTGACAGGAGCTCAGGAGGGTCTCGTTCTAACGATAACATCGCAAGACTGTATCATCCACTGGCCAGGATCCGTTCCTGAGGATAGCGGAACCCAACTAGTCGGCACAACAACAATAGCTATTCTACCTTACCAAGAGGGGGACTCAATCTACGACGTCGAGGCGCACACTGAAGTCATCAGCAACTCCGACAGTATGAAAACTAACGACAATAACAGAACAGCTCACGCACGGGAAGTGCTGATGGTTCGACGTCCTCGGTTGCCATTAAACACCCCAGAAGCACCCGATGTCAGGTCATCAGATGAATCAGAATCCAACATATCACCCTTTGCTCAGGGCTACGATGGAGAAACCGAGAGTCAGAGACATGCTAGAGAAAGGAAAAACAAGTTGAAACAAGGGCGCCAGCACCGCGCTCGATAGCGTAGAGAAGCCTGGACCAGATACGAGTCAGAATTGGCTGAATACGACAAAAGAAAATCACAACAAGAGGCCGAAGAGAGACGCACAGTGAGTACGCCTTACGATAAGATTCGAGAAGCATTAGAAGAACTCAGGGCAACTTCACATCACGGGGAGAAGTACGAACAGCTCCAGGACTTGCTCCGGTCAACGATCCCAAGAACGCATGAAGAGAGAACCCGATCAAGAATACCTGCCAGATCAACAACCCGTAGGCAAGAAGATCAAAATCAAAGGAAGTCCGCTTTTGAAAGACTTGGACCAGGCGGAAGCCATAACGGGAAAGTAGGAGGAACATAGTCGGGGCCATCAATTTGAACAACCAAGGAAGACCAGGAGTAGAGGGCCTACCTGCACAACCTTGCGTAATTATTCCCATCAAAACAACACTTGGCGTAAGAAGGAGCCGAATCTGAATTCAAGGAAGCGGAACGCATGATGATGATTCATTGTTTTGCAAACAAAGTTGGCATCATTCGATTACCTCACAAATTCAAACCGTCTAATCACTCCAAGTATGATGACAAAACCGAACCAAGACAATGGCTCAGAATATATTCACAATCAATTGAACTAGCCGGAGGAGACGATGATATCAAAACCTTGTTCTTCCCCATGGCACTGGAAACGATGCCTCTCCAATGGTTTGAT